AGGCTGGCTGGGGAATTCTGGGAGTTGAAGTCCACTCATCTTAAAGTGGCCAAGTTTGGACAAAACTGCTTTAAGCAATCTGAAAACATTTTTATTTCAATGAACATTCTCATTTGACTTCTTTAAGTGCTGTTTTTAATTGCAATGTATGACTTTATAGTTTATCATTTGTACCCGTTCCATTGTGAACCCTGCAAGTATACTCCAATGTAAAAAGAAAAACTAAGTTATTTAAGAAAATACGAGTCTGTGCAAAAGGTAAAAACCTAAAAATAGCACTACCATTTAGTACAGAATAATTTCTAGTTTAAATAAACTTCCTTTCTATCAGTAAAACATTAAAAATGCATTATGTATCAAAGAAAAATAATAACCCAAGGGAGGCATATTAACCCTTGGAATTTTTAAAAATTGCTTATTATTTAGTTTTTTTGGATAAATGGTACTTAAAAATATGGGAAATAGCATTGACCAAAAAATGAGTACAACTGCAAAGTCTTAACTGGTCCTTAGTTTATGATTATTTTACTCATGGTTAGTCACCATTTTTAGTTAGCTAAACAAAGTAATGGCTAATAGATTATTCCTGGCTATATCAATGTGTAGTTGGACAGAAATACTGAATAGATTTTTAAAAATATTTGTATATCACCTTAAGATTACAAATGTTATTATATAACTATATATATTTAACTTTCTGGTTTGGTTCTTTATTTTTGCTGCTTTCTTATTTTCAGTGCTTTTAAAACTATAAATTTTTGAAAATGATCTTTACGGTCAGCCTAAAATGCAGAGCTCAAGTACTTCTAAATGTGTTTAAACCAAAAGTCAGGCTTGGTTAGTACTTGGATCTGAGATTACCAGGAAATCTCAGCACTACAGACTCACCTGGCAAGGTTAAAAGAACTCTTGGCAAACTTCTTTCCTCTCAGTGCCAAGAAAACTGCACAGACCTGTCCATGATGTCACCCAGAATCAGGCTCACTGCATGAGCTTTTAAACTGTGTTCATTGAACATGTCTGCCACTAGATGGCACACAATTTCTGTCTCTCTGTACAACCTATTCTTTTGTGTTTCTTCGGCAGTAAAAATGCCACTTTTCTTCTACAAGATCCTAGATAAACTGTACATGAGGAATCACTTCACATGATTTACTAACCTATCAGGTCTTAGTGCAGTACAGAGAGGATTTTAAGTTGTTTATTGTTTGTGTTCGTGTGTGTATAATACATAGATTGTGTGTGTGTGTGTTAATTCAAACACATATAGAAAATCCCTATCTATGGCACATAATCAAAAAAGGTTTTATTAACCTCTCAAGGCAATATGCTGTGGAAAAAACTGAATGTACAGGAATATCAGTTCCCATTTTTAGCATTTTTACAGCCATGTTGTTCAAAAAATGTATCTCTGATATTTTCACTGCTCCAAAAACGAAGTTCCCTACAGGGGCAGGAAATACCACTAGAGAATAGTAGACAGGAGTTTGATCCATTGATTTCCATCCATATAATGCAAAACAACAGAGCTTAACTAAGTAGGGATTTTAGAGGCGTTCTAATTTCTCATAGTACCTTAGCAATTCAAGGTAAATTCTAACAGAGATTGAGGGTAACCCACTTCCATCCTAAGATAAAAGTAGCAGGAATGCCTGACGGAGGCCCAGAATCTTCCTTTAGATCAGTGTTGTCCAAACTTGGCCACTTTAAGATGAGTGGACTTCAACTCCCAGAATTCCCCAGCCAGCCATGCTGGCTGGGGAATTCGGGGAGTTGAAGTCCACTCATCTTAAAGTGGCCAAGTTTGGACAACACTGCTTTAGATAAACTGTAGCGTAATACAAGCTATTTTGGATACATTATGTGAAGCCTAGTTTTCTGGAGAAGTCCATAATGCTGGGAACAGGGAAAGAAAATAACAGCAAGTGAATGGATCTGGTTATAGCAGCAGTGAATACACCATTGGAGGGTTAAAAAAAACAGGTTGGGAACAGAAAATCTATCCACCTGGTTGCTAAGAGTTGACATCAACTTGATGCACAAAATGGTACATAATCAGTCAACTAATCACTACAAGCGATAGGCTTGTGCACTCATATTTTCACTTCCATTTTTAAACTAAAATGTAATACTGTATTGTTTTTAAGTTTTGCAGTCTTAGCATTATGTTTTTCTTCCAGAACCATCATTTAGACCAGGGGTTCTCAAACTGTGGGTCATGACTCTTGGGGCGTCATCAGCAACTGGAAAGGGAGGTTATAATTTTAAAAAATATATATTCAGGCTTGCATTGGCAGACTGACAAAACTCACTCCAGACGTTGCTGTTCACTTTGCAGAGTTTGAGAACCTAATGATATATAAACTAAAATGTAATTATTTTAAAGTAAGTGGCATATTTATTTCTGGCCAAACCTAACCTAACTCCAATGTAATCATAGTGTTCTGGATAGGAGTTCAACACAGGAAAATTATAGTGAAATACTTCATAATTCTCACTATTTTACATTCTGCAAAAGATTAGTTATTTATCAAATTGAGAATGCATGTAACCCTACCCCCAAAAAATACCCTTTTTAACCAAAAGGTAACAGGAACACCTTGAATTGATTCATCAGTAACTGCCTATCAACTAGGACAGTATAAAACACAGTGTAATAATCTCCACCTTTGCACATACCCAGTTCTAAAAGCCCAATAAAATATGGGGCCTATCATTAAAAAACATTATCAAACTCAATTTGTCCCTTCAGGCACCTCCCTCTTTTCCCAGAGGGTTTAAAAATTATAGAATCATAGAATGTAAGGGTTTGAAGGGATCTTGGAAATCAACTAATCCAAATCCTCACCTAATGAAGGAATCCACTACTACAGCATCCCTGACACATGGTCATCCAGCCTTGATTTAAGTACTTCCATCAAAGGTGAATCTACTACTTCTCTAGGCAGTCTACTCAATGCCATCGTTAAACGGCTTTTAGGAATTCTTTCCAATATCCAACTGAAATCTTCTCCTTGTAATGTAAAGCCACTATTCTCTTTCTTGTCTTTTGATAATACTCTGATCAAGCCTAATACAATGTTCTACATGACATCCTTTCAGACACTTTGACACTTTCTCTTGTCCAGGCTAAATATACCCAATGGCCCTAGCCATTCCTCCTAAGTTTTTCTTTCCAGGCCCATTATCATCTTTGTTGCTGTCATCTGACATGCTCCAGCCTACAAATGTGTTTCCTAACATGGGGTGCCCAGACCTGGACACAATATAACTAAGAACAATGACTATTGTTGATCTTGACATTATAGTTCTGTTGATGCAACTGCAGAGTCACCGGGAGTCAGGTGCTGTATGAATAAAATAAATAAATAAATATTGCATTTACACTGTTTGCAGCTGAATGACACTAATGTTCAGCTTGTGTTCCACCAAACTACCAAGATCCTTTTCATATGTACCAATGCCCAGTATGGTCTCCCCCCATCCTATTCTCATGTTTCTTACTTTTCCTATCTAAATTAAGGACATTTTCTTTGTCCCTGTTGAAATTCATCTTGCTGGTTTCTGCCAGTTGTTTGAGCTTCTCCAGATCTTCCTAAATCTTGATATTTTCCTCTAAGGTATTTGCTATCCCCACTATATTTGTGCATTTGCAGATTTGAAGATTATGCTTTTAACCCTTCATCCATGTAATTTATAAATGTGTTGAACAGCAGAGCCTAGAATTATGCCCTGTGGTATGCTACTCAAAATTTCCATCTTGACACTGAGCCATTGATTTATGCTTGTTGGATGCAAATGTTCAACCAATTCTATGTTAATTTAATAGTAATATAGTCTCGTCCACATTTTGCCATTGATTGTTCTTGATAAATCCATACTGGCTGTCATGAAGCAATGCATTCTTTTCCAAATATTCACAAGCTGACTTTTTAATAATTTGTCCCAGGGTTTTGCCCAGTATCAGCATCCAGCTGACCTGTCTGTAGCTACTTTTCTCTTTTTTCCATTGTTTGTTTATTTGTAAATTCTATTTCTACAGGACCCCATTGGTACTTAACTCTGGGCAGCTTATAAGAGTTGAAAAACAACAATATAAACATATTAAAAAAGACACAGCCATGCCGGGGACCCACAACAATTCAAAGCAAACTATTCAAACTCAATTGTGGCTCTCATAATGTCCTGGCCTTTGGGAAGACAGGAAGAACATTTGTCTTTCTCCAATCCTTTGGCACTATGCCCATTTTCCTTGATTCCTCAAAGATCACAGGAAGGACCCTGAGATGACATCCATAAGCTTCTTCAAAGCTCGCAGTGGTAAGTGATCTGGTCCTCCAGTTTTAAATTCAGTCATGGTAGCTGGATGTTTCCTATGCTTTTATTTATCTTGGGTTGCCTCTTCATCTTTGGATCAGATGTTCTATTTAGGCCTATTTGGACAAGTTCCTTTTTGGGGAGAAGACCAAAGCAAAGGAAGAGATGAGGAGCCCTGCCCTCACTCCATCACATTACCATCTTATTATCTTCATCTAATTCCAGACCAACCACCCTGTTTCTCTTCCATTTACTACTGACACAGCCAAAAAAGCCATTTTTGTTGCTTTCAAAGTCTTTCAGACACTAATGTATAAACCTCCATTTATCATCAAAAATACATGGTGTCCAGATAAACTTTTTTTTCTGAGCTGGGTGACGTAGGGCATTGTTAGTTTCCCATTCTCATTAACACTCACAGCTTCCGCTATTTCTGTAGGCTGCAGGCAGGAAATGAAAAAAGAGACCAGAGGAAACCTGGCCTTCTACATCTGTCCTTGTTTGCAATCTCAGCTCTAGTTTTATTTTGCTAAAAATCATAAGTTTCTCTTAACCCCTGACATGCCAATTCAATTCCTACCATATCTATATTTTTAGTGGGAATAGATTAGAATTCCTGGGAGAAGGTAAATAGTAATACTTATTTTTAAAGCACAATATTTGATTGGAGAAGTAATGATAATATACTTTATAAAGACCAATGTTTGCATTAGGTCCCATAACTTTATCTAAATAAACTAAAACAGCTGTATCTAAACATAATACTTAATCTTTTACTGTTTCTCTGTAATCCTATATACCTTGATCATGCTATGTAAAATAGCAATAATTAATGACGATGAAATGAGTCCCTCAAACTTGGTATCTAATAAAGAAACTCCTGACCCAATGGTGAGATTATACATAACAGTTTTCACACATTATCTAAGCTATGTTTTGATTTAAACAAGGTTGATGAATAAGCTATATTGGCAGGGTTCATGCATAAAGCTAAGCCATAAAGTTAAACTATAAATACAGTTTATGGCACAATTATAAGCATAGTTTTCTGTTAACTGCTAGTTAACCCAATATGTTAAGTCAAAAAAGGAAAACAAAACAGAAACACCACACATTATGGCTTAGCCCAATGTCTCAGTCACAGTTTTCTAGGTCTTCTATACTTGGTACTGTAGCATGACAAGTTCTTCTTAAATTGGTGTTGTAAATTATTATTTATATTCAATCATTTAGTGAGAATAAAGGACCTTCAATCTACATATTTCAGGAGTGAACATACAGGGACAGCAGGGGGTGAAAACTTACCAGATCAAACAAAGAAGATGCTTCAACAGAAACAACTTTCCATAAGGAAGATAAACAAAGGAACAAGCCCAGTGGATGAGAATCACTATCAGAAACAAAAGTCATAGAAGATATTCTGCATAACTTTGAGGCCCTCACAGAATAAATAACCTCTGATTCTTCAGAAGAAGAAAAGGCAACACTGTGGAACAGGAGACAGGACATTAGATCCCTGAAGGACAGACAGGATACAGCAGTGCCCTGCAAGTAGACAAAGAGAAGAGTCATGGCAGTTGATGACATCCTACAACAAGGAACTGAAACAAATGCACTACTGCAAAGTGCTTTACCTGGGGTGTCCTTGAAGACCACTCAGAAACCAGAGTTGGTGAAAGCCTGACTGAATGGCTTTCAAGAGTCACCATAGACATCTAGGCTATGGGCCCTCACTGCCTACCAATGGGTTTTGAAGTACAATTTAATGTGCTGGTTTTAATAATAAAGCCCTATGTGGATTGGCTTCTGGGTACCTTCAGGACAGCCTTATTCACATAGACGCAACCCTCCTGGTTTCTACACCCTGAAGAAAGTCCGCTGGGGGCCTGCCATTATTGAGAAGTTAGGGGCAGGGTCCAATAGACAACGTTTTTCTGTTGTGGGCCCTATGTTATGAATAGCCTCCCCCTTGAGCCAAGCTAGCATCTACTTCATGGCTTTCCAGAAGTTAGTGAAAACAGAGTTTTTCCAAGTGGTATTTAGTTATTTTTTATTTTACATCCTGTTTTACCGTTTTATTGATGTAAACCAATGGGAATCCATGCAGATTACAGAAGTATATAAATGAAACAAAACAAATACATGCTAACCAGACACTTGGCTTGTGAAATTTCTTACCTGGCTGGAACAACAATCAGAGATGTGACAGAATGCTTCCAAGATTTATCAAGTCCAATGTCAATTATCTCTTCCAGATAATGCATATGGGACAAATAATGCTGCCAAGGGCAGTTACAACTGTATCACCATGAACTTTGAACCTCCAGAAAGAAGCTCAAGAGTATTCTCATCCATGGAATAGAAGGGGAAGGGGAAAGAAGAATAATTCAACTGAATAAAACAGATTGATGGGAGAGATTTGGTTTCTGGGACTACAGTATAGTATGATGTGGATGATAGATTACTAGCACAGGATGGTTTGCACATCACAAAGTCTGGTAAAAATATATCTGGAAAAATACATAAAGTTGAATTGTGAACTGAATCCTGTATGGGTAGGATATGACAGTCTTGAAGTATAGATCCCTGTGCACTACAAAAAGAGGTTGGAGCATTGCTGTAATGGAACTATTAAACCATTGAAAAATTAGGAAGAACATTGGCTCATAAAATTCATGTCTTTTGTTGTTGATATACTAATGTTCAGAGTATAGGAAATTAAAAATGTTGAAATTCTTATATAATAACAGAGGCCTAGTAGGATGCCTTCCTGGAATGGAATATAGCAACTGAAAGATACAGTTTATGCAAAATAACAGAAGTACAATAATAGAAAGGGAGGAGTTGCACCATATATTAAAAATCCACATGTGTGTAGAAATCAAATAAATGAACATGATGATATTGTAGAGACCATCTGGGTTAAAATAAATTGAGAAACTAATAAATTATCATTGTTTTCTACTATCACTCACCTAATCAAGTAGAAGATGTGGACGATTCCTTCCAAAAGGAAACCACACATTTTTCAAAGTAGCATGAAGTAACAATGAAAGGGAACTTTCATTACCCCATGATCTGCTAAAACTCTGCCAAACATGGTCCTTCCATGAAATCCTGACTTGTCTTGCTGTCAACTTTCTTCTTCTCAGGATGGAACTGTTAGGACTAAGGGCATAGGAACTGAGGCTGCCAAGGTAGGAAGCAGCATTCCCAGGCTAGAGAGAGCTATAATGTAAACATACCTCAGCTGCCACTTCCCAGTGCCATTAAGCAACCAGCCAAGAATCTGTTAACTGAGAATGTAGGAAGAAGCTTAGAATTTAAACCCTGGAGCACAGATATATAGTCTCTGGCTTTTTTGCACTGCAGGTGGGAATCATCTGTTATATTAAAGCCTTCATTCTTGTCTGAAGTAAAAACTCTAATCTTAACTGAGACACATCTGGGACTTTTCTGCTAAATCTAACCAAAAGCTGAATTAAGGATTAAACGTTTGGAGATTTGTGATTTACTGCTGAGTCCAGGTGTAAGTTTGACAGAAAGTGTTCAAGTAGAAGTTGGAGAGCCATCTGTCAGAATACTTTAATTTGAATTCTGAGATTGAGCAAGCAGTTGGATTTGATAGCCTAAATGGTCCTTCCAAATCTATGATTCTATGGGTCTATATTTACTACTCTTAGTTGCCTAACTACTGGTCTGAATCATGCAGGAACTAAAAAGGATATTGGAAAAATTTTAGAAGACATTTTAAGCTTGTTTATGTAGTGTATCCCATCTTCACAATCTCCTTATTCAAGAAATTTGCATCACATTATTCCACATCTATTGAAATAATTAAGGGCAAAACTGTGTTTTACATCAACACTAACTGCACGTGTCAGAGATGTTTACGTGTGACCAATAACACTAATGGCTGCCATTGAGAAGTCTATACAGGATGGAGGGGTTACTTTCCAGGATTATCCTGGTATGTAACAATATCCAATAGGGTAAGGAGTGAGCTGCTATCTGGACATATCCTTACGATGGCCTATGGAAACTGTACACAAAAAGGACAATGGACGTATACAAAGATGCATTGTGTATGTATAGGAATCTCTTAGCTTTTAACAAAATGAATTCTAGTTCATCAGTACTTATGGTTCTAAAGACCTATGGACCAAAAACTATTTCATGTAATGCTTTTTAAATATTATTTTAAATTTATTTATTTATTGGTTTTGTATGTTGCCCATTCCCTTAGCAGCTCAAGACAGCTGATAGAAATAGAACTAAAATGGCAGAAATAAAATTAAGCCTTAAAATATTAATAAAATGATACATTTTGAAATAATTGAAAGATTTGGATAAACAAGTATATAAAGAAGGTAGCTTGCTTCAACTCTGATGGCAGTTTGCTCCACAACATGGTCCCTGCCATGAAGATAGCAATATATGTCAAACGACTCCTAAAAAAATGCACAGAAATCCTCTCTGGTGATCTAAGATTGTGAGGCAGTTTGTACAGCAGTAGACAGTCTGTAATTGTTGGGTCCTGTGGCATGTAAGGCTTTATATTCCAATGGGAGCAATTTGGCTTGGAAGGCAACTGCCAACCAGTGAAGTTGTTTCAACAAGGAAGTAATGTGGCAACATCAAGAAGCACAACTCACCATTATGCTGCCACATTCTGGGCAAACTCCAATTTCTAGACCATCTTCAAATGACCAATAAAGGTACATTATAATAATTCTAACCAACATGAGGTGGTTGACTTATAAGATACTCCTTATTAATGGTGTTACATGGTTCTCCAGCATCTATGCTAAATCCAGAAGGAGCCAAATCTGATCCTAAAAGATTAGTATGGGGCCCAACCTAATGACATTCCAAACATCTCTGAAGACCTGGCTGTTCTCTCAGGCCTGGGGCTACATGGGTGTTGAGCCCTTGTCAGTTGTTTTTCATTATGTTGTATGTTTTCTAGTTGTGCATGGTTCTTTCTTGTTGGTTTTATGGTTCTTTCTTAGAGGGCAGCCTTTAAATTTAATAAAAGAGAAGTGTACCCACATCCAGAACAGACATTTCTCCTGAATTCTGAAGTTTCAGCTCCTAGACTCAGTAACAACTCCATCTTGTCAGGAATTAGTTTTGTCTGTTCATCTGCATATAGCTTTATAGCCCAGAGATATTCAGGGGCCTTGGGGACAACTAACTCAAGCTCTCAGGAAAAAATATACCTGAGTTTCATCAGCACACTGATAACAGCTATCTCTAATCTGGTCAATTATCCTTCTCAATGGCTTCATTCAGATATTAAATAAGACAGAGACAAGATCAAACCTTCTGAGAACTCAGAGGATGATTTTCAGGAAGTTATCAGAATGTCCCAGTATTGGGTTTGGTCACACTTGTAGGAAGAAGTGGAATCACTATAAAGATTTCACCAACTCCCAGCTCCCTCAAGCTCTCCAAAAATACTGTGGTCAATGGTATCAGAAGCTTCCAAGAGATTCAGGAGTTCCAACAGATACATACTTTTAGTATATACTCCTGGTATAGATCATTCATCAAGTGACTCTTGTTGTCTTTGTGCCATATCGAGATCTAAACCAAAATCAAAGCACTGAAGACAATCTGTTTCATTTAGGGTCACTGCCTTTTGCACAATCTTGGCTAAATATGGAATATTGGACACTGGGGAATATTTGTTAAAATCATCCAGGCCTAAACATGGTTCCTAAAGCAATGGCTTAAGGGGGCATGAAACTCTACCTATTAAAAAAAAGTTTTAAATAGTTGCAGTAAAGTTCATTTTGTGGTTGTTAAATTTTATTCAGAATTATATAGAAAACCAGAGGATATATTGAATGAAGATATAGATGCTTTTTAAAATAAAGTTAACCTACCACAATTAGATGATACATATAAAAACTCTTATTCACTCCACTATCTGAGCTAGAGATTAAACAAATAATTTTTAAAATGACAAGTGGTAAAACACCAGGATTAGATGGATTCCCTGTTGAGTACTGACAGTCCCCTGCTTGCGAATTTTTGTGTTGCAAATTTTCACTGATACGAACAAGATGGACCCGGAAATCAGAACCGGAAGTCAGGAGAAGGTGGGAAATTTCTTCTTTCCCACCTTCTCCCACCTTCCATTTGCATGGAGGTTTGCACTGGAGTCGGAGTTCCCAGAAAACGTTAGTTTACACAGTGCGCTCCATTGCTGGGTGAGGCAGGAGAGGGGGCAGTGGCAGAGGAGAGGGAAGAGGGAGCAGAGGCCGCCTGCCTCGCCAGCAACAGAGCATGCCACACCCCACCAACTCATCCTTCACTCCCCTCTCCTCTGCTACAAAGATCAATTTGCAATTTTATCATTAGATTTTGCCTTTGACAAAATACATAACCAGTTTATGTTTGCCATACAAAATAGATTTGGATTTCCTATGGAATTTATAAAATGGATTTAGATATTATATGAGTCGCCCACATCTAAAGTAAAGGTTAATGGTATGTTTTCTCCTCCTTTTCCACTATTTAGAGGAACTAGACAAGGA